CTGTATATGCTATTAGTTAAATATGTGTTCACAACAAAAGAAAAAAAATAATAGGTCAGCAAAATTGAATGTTTAGAGTTTCTTTGTGTATGTGATAGTCACGTGTGCTCAAAAAATAATTTAAGCAGGAGGTGTAGCTCAGTGGTTGAGCACCTGCCTAGCATTCACTTAGGCCCTGACTTAAATCCTCCCCCCATTTTTTCCGTCAATATAATTTGTTGGTGAATGCTTAACTGATATACCAAATTTTCAATAACAAAACAATAAATTTTCATCACAGAAAACCTTATAAGTACTTCCACTTGTTAAATATTTTAGCCAATCACATTTAGTTAAATTTACTTAGTCAAATCCTTTTGAGGAAAAAAATGGGATGTATAATCTAAAGAATTATGATGCTTCTACAGTGTAATATTTTTTTTATTCCTACCCTAGAATTTGGATTTTTTAAAAAAATTCACATTACTTTCACCCTCTGAAAATTCCTTAATTAAAAACTGTTTCCTGAATGGGGAATGAGGGTATATGAAGTAATCTCATGATAGTCATTTTCTGCATAGATTTTTTTCTTACAGATGTTAAAATTGATAATAGATAGTAACTTTTACCCTTTATCTTTCATGTAATTAAAATACTTTTCAATGAAAATTGCAAATGAAAATATTTGACATATTACAGTAAAGTTAAGATGCTTTTTGTATTTTTTAATAAAAGATAATGCTCTTCCTTTAAGAGTTGTTTTTCTTATATATGTAGAAGCCATCTAAAAGTTTGGTAATATATTCAGAGTGATGTCACTCACCAAATACATCATTATCAGAATAAATAAGAACACTTATTTTGTGTTCTCTTTCTGTCCTTGACTCAAAGAACTGATGATGAGGAAAACGATTTTTCAATTTCTCATGTTTTTAAAGTTATAGGAGTCTCTTAATGAAGTATACTGTCAATCTTTGTAGATATAATTTCAAATTTGTTAATCAATAAATTGGGTATTCCAAGAACTACACTGATAAGAAACTCACTTGATGAAAGTAAAGCTTGAAACTTGACTGCATTAGGGTTTCTAAAACATAATAACAATAATATTATTGTTTTTACAACAATATTGTTTTTCTGTTTGAATATGATACCACCGATAGTAATTGCTATCTCTGTGCACACTGTAGCTGAAAAGACTTGTGTACAGTCAATAGTTCCATTCAGTGTCCATGGCAAGATATTTTTATAGCTAAGAACTCTGAAACTTTTTCTCAAGTTGTAAAAAATTCTGAATTTATATTAAAGAATGAAATATAATGATTAGATTAAGTATCTAAACTCAGAAGTAGTTATCTCTTCTGAAAAGTTAAACTGATCTTTTTACAATATTGCTTGTTTGTTTTGGAAATTAACATTTTATACCAGACTAAGGGGAATGTGTGATTATTAAACACACTGAAAGTACCTTTAAGTTTTTTGTGTACTGTTTTACAATAACACAAGCACAGTCATACTGCAACTATCTATATCCTAATGATTTTCAAATTAAGGAATGACTTCAAATTAGGAAAGCTTTTTGTTCACCTAGCTTTGGAATAGCATGATGTACACTAATTGCTAACTTTGTTGCATTATTTTTTAAAGATCAAATGGGCACAGTGGTAATTTTCATTAATCTCATACAGAGCAGCTAATTAAAATTTCCATTATTATCCATCCATTATCTAGTTGTTTCCTTTGTTCAGTATCAGAACAGGGTTTTAATAATAAGCCATTCTTGTGTTACAACCCTATTAAGTATGGTGAGATTTAGTTTAATCTGTTGTACTGTTTTGTTTTTAGGTGATTTCTTGAATATTATGCTGCACCATATAGATTATACTGAGGATACATCGACACTTTGACATTATGTAATAGAGATTTCAGAATTAAATACTTGTTGCTTCAATTTTTTTTTTATTCGGTATTGGAGAAAAATAGCATATAGTGGATAAAAGAATGACCTGTGGATCAGAGTGCATGTGTTTTAGTCCTGCCACCTCACTAATTATGTGAACTTAGTGATGACCTGAATTCTTTATTTTTATAATGCAATATTAGAAGAGCTGATCTTCAAGGGCCAGTCTGGCCTTAATGTGCAATCATATTTTCATAATTTCCCAATATGGACTTCTGTTAAAACTCTAAAGTCTTTCTAAACTTATAATGACAGAGTATCCTAAATTGTGTGATTTAAACAAGTTTCTAAGTCTTGGTGGTGGTGGTAAGGATAAACTCCAAGGTGATGGGCTGGCCCAATTCTCCATAAACACTGTCTCAAATGTGACCATATGCCCTAATTAAATCAACCCAATAGAAAGTCAGTTAGAAAAAAGGAACTGACATTTTCTGTGTCTGTGAGAGTGTATTTATGTACACACACACACACACACAAACACACAAAATGCCTGTGTTAATCCTCATAGTAAACATGAGTGGTAGATATTTCTTTACCCTTTGTCATGGTTGAGCTAATTGGGTTAAAGAGATCAGTTAATAATGTTCCTGGAGATTGCTAGAAAATAAATGGTTAGAACCATGAATCAAACAAGGTGGTAAAGTCTAAGTTGTCCACAGCTCACAGTGTCGCAGTTTACCTGTTCTGTACTCAGCATCTCTGAATATATTCTAACTGCAAGTTTCAGAACCTATAATACTCTGAAGGAAACCTAAACTAAGCTTAGATGCTCCAGCATGTTGAAACTCATCATTCGTTCACCTATCTCCCTCCCTCCCTCCCTGCCTCCCTTCCTTCCAGGAAATACGTATTAGATGCTTACTGTGTGACAAACACTTTGTTAGGATCTCAGGATAGAGTGGTAAACAAGGCAGACAATATTCCTACCTCATAGAACCCATGTTCTGTTGTGGAAGACCCATTAAACAGCTTGATAACTAAACAAGATAAACTTACATGAAGCTAATACTATCAATGAGATCTAAAATGTTGTAATGATAACTGGAATGTGGAGGGGAGACTTAAAAGATGTGAGCCAGTAGTGGAAAGGTTGAGCTGGATCTTTCAGGCAGAGAAAATGGCAAAGTACAAAAGAAGAAGCTCTATATACAAGCCTGGTTCTACTGTAGGATCAATAGGGATCTTTTAAACCTATTGATTAAGAAAATAAGTGTGAGGATTGTATGAAATTGGTATGAGACTGTAGACTGGCAAAATTTTAACTTCTTGTAGTTTTCAGACTGGGTCATGCAGTGAATATTTCCATTCATTGTTGTGAAAAGTGAGTTGGTTGAGCAAAAATATTATTTCAGAATTATGATACAAATGTCTACTTGCTGTTGTTACTTGTTGGATAAGACATGTGTAGATAAATTGCAGGAATTGAACATCTACTGTATCTGTTAACAAAAAAAAGGGGGGGTGCTGGGGATGTAGCTCAAGTGGTAGTGCACTCGCCTGGCATGCGTGGGGCACTGGGTTCGATCCTCAGCACCACATTAAAAAAAAAAAAAAAAAAAGATGTTGTGTCCACCGAAAACTAAAAAATAAATATTAAAAATTCTCTCTCTCTCTTTCTCTCTCTCTCAAACAAAAAGTCTAGTCAGTGACTATTGCACAAAGTATGGGAGCTAGAGTGTGAAATTATATTTCTTCTTCTGTAATTGTTATTATCAAAACCAAGAATAGCACATTTTGGTTGACGCTCACTAAATTCAGGCACTCTGTTAGGCACTTGTCTTACATGGTGTTTCCAGTGTGGAAGAGATAGACACACATGATAGCTTCTACTGGAATATGTTAGATACTATAATAGTGAATATAGCCACAGTACTATAAGCAAATAGAGTTTCTGTATATGCTGTAAGTCTTTTTCAGACTTTTAACATTTATTATTTAATGGAATTTATTAAAATTCAAAAATTAAAAATTATTTATAATTTCTATATTGTGGAGGTATTTCTTAAAAAGTCAAATAATATGAAACTCTAGGGAACCAATTTCTCATTATTAACACATTGTTTTTTTTTAAAAAATCTGTGTACTCTAATGATATAACTTCTACCCAGTGGGGGAAATTGGCTTGGATACTCAGTATAAACTTAGGGTAATTAGTATGAACTTGGGAAAAGGGAATCTAGCTAGAGTCTTAATTCAGGAGAATACATTTATAGTGTAGGAAAATAACAGTTATGACTGGGTATGTCTAGAATGTGAAGCTATGAGTTATTAGTCTAGTGAATGTGTTGATGGTGTTTCTCTCCTAGTCTTTTCCCTGAACTACTTATATAGTTATAGCAAGGTGATGAAGCTAAGGAACTGTGATGAGATAATGAGTTCTGGAAGTAACCCCATGTATATTAGAAATTAAGCTAAAAACTAGTAGCTATTAGATAAATGTATTTAATGACTTTTTAAAATTAATCTGCAACCTGGGAGTAACAGTTAGGAAGGAATACCTTGGAATTAGTGAATGCTTTACACTGATTTAATTATTTAACATTCTAATTGGAGATTATATTGTTTTCCATTTTAATAAGTGTTTTCACTTGGTTTTTGAGATATGATATTCTGATATATCTTTCAGTTTGTTTTATATATTTTGTGAAATTGAATATGAATATCTTAACTAGGGAAATTAATATGATGATTTTTTAGTGTTCATTCTTTGGGTTAAAAGAACTGGGTAATCTTAATCCTAATGCCTGAATTTTAAGTTTAGACATCAGCAAAACTTCATATAATTTAGGTCCATATTCTCTTTATGTCATGAGCACCAACAGTGGAATTTTCTTTTAAATGATGATGAGGAGGATGTTGCAATATATATGATACAATTTTACCTGTCAGTTCTTTGAACACTTTAAGATCTGCTTACACAGATCAAGTATGTTTAAGTGCCTAGTACTGCAAACATTTTAGATGGTAAAGTATTTATAGATTTATATATTCTATGCAGTATTTACTTTTAAGTGTTTAAAATATAACTTGTTTGTTTAAAGTTGTTTCTCTTTTTTAATAGGGTGGTCTGAAAAACAGCAAGCATGAATGTACTCTGTCTTCACAAGAATATGTTCATGAATTACGATCTGGTATTTCAGATGAGAAACTTCTTAACTGCCTAGAATCCCTGAGGGTTTCATTAACCAGCAATCCTGTCAGGTAGGTGGTTCTTATGATTTTAGTATGATTCATATAATTCATGCTATATGTTATTGTTTGGGAATATAATCAGTTATATTAACCTCAAGATTTTGCTCTGATATTAACTAATACAATAGCAATGTCTGAGCATTAATTTGTAAACATTTAAAAATATATCTAGTTAATCTGGTCTTTAATAATGTGTAATTTTTAAGGGTTCATATATTACTTGAATATTTAATTATTCTTTATTGTATAAAACAGAGATAGAAATTAAATATCCACATTTACGTGGAAAGCTGTTTGTGTATTCAGATAATGATTGTTACATATTTATTTATAAAACAAATTAAGTATATTTAGCTCTAGAATTTTATTCACTTTAAACCTGAGAGTTATATATAATTTCATTTACTTTAACAATTTTACATATACTATTCACATATTTCTGTAATTTTGAGATAGAAATGAAATTATTTTAACCAATAGAAGAAATGAGACAGAAAATATTAACAAACTATTTAAAACTTTACACATTTAGGCTTTTACATAGCTCAAAATTATTTTTAAGGAACAGGGTACTTACCAGTGATGGATTGTAGAAACTATTATTCCTTTATTAGCCATATAAAGCCTTTAAATTAATATCCAAATTAAAATATATATAAAGAAAAATATATTGCATTGTAACATTGCAAAAAAATTTAAGATCTGCTTACACAGTTGCTGGAATCTTGAGTTAAGAATTTACTAGATAAGAGTATACAAAAACATGATTTTATTCATGTTTTTCTTAATATTCAATAGGCTCAAGTCTTGTACCTTTTTGATCTGTACACAGAGCCTTGATAATAATTTAGAGCTCAGTCATTCAGTTTGGATATATTTATAAATTCAGATCTATCAGTAATTAAAATATTAGTGCATTTTGCAAAATAATTGGAAAAAATTTATGACAAAATTTTAAGACTGTGATAAAATATGCATTTTTTGGAGTATGATAATTGTTCATAGGTGCCTATCTTGCTCTTTCTTTCATAATGCTTTTAGTAAATGATTTGAGCAGCTGGTGTGAGTTGAGAACAGTAACCACCATGTACCCCCACTCCTACCCAATATACCTGCAGCACCCTATGTTAGTACTCAGCACTTAGGTGCTCCAAAATTTTCTATTGAACAGTAGATTGGTTGAGTAAATAAATATTTTAATAAGTGACTATGGAAGTTGTGGCATTCAGAAATAAATGGGGAAATTAATGAAATTCATTTTTTATAAAAAGAATTGGGAAGGCTTGAAATTATGTGTGCATCTTTTAAAATGCAGAACAATAAGGAGCCACATATCCCCAAAGGGTTAATAAAACAAGCAGGTGCCTGGCAGGCCCTGATTGGCTGGAGGCAGCTGCATTCCAGTAGTTGATTGGCTCTGAAAGTAGTGTGGTGTGGCTGTGTTGTACATTCCATTGTTGCCCCAGGTAGATCTCCTAGGCAGCCTGTGGAGCAGCCCTGACAAGAGACAAACTGTACCTCCTCTCCTGCTGAAGCTATCTTTAAGATAAAAATGAGTGTGTTTGGGGGTTATGGCAGTATCTCTGCTTTGGATGGGACCAGTGGAGGTAATGGCCAACAGTCTGAGGGAGGCCTAGCACCTGCTACTTAGATCCTAAGATCCAGGGTCTGAACCCAGAACATTTTACCTTGTTATTTTAACTGGTTGACAATATGTTCAAGATTAGGGGATTCAAGGTTTCCCATGTCTCCATTGTGGGGAAAATCAGATGGGCAGTAGGGCTCCAAACTGTATTTTTTACAAAGTTGATGATATGAACTCAATGCAAGTTGAGGCCAGGTAGTGCTTGGCTCACATACAGCCAAGCAGGGGATGACTGAACTGCTAGTAGGAATATATGCCAAAGTGTTCAGTGTCCTCAAATCATCTGTGGAAGGAAAGAGTTTAAGATATTGAAATTCCTAGTCCTAGAGGGCATGAACCAGTTCATCGTATATATTTTGGAGACCATCAAGACACATGTGATGATGGATAAGGCTCTCCATGTGTCCTGGGGAATGTGTGTCCTGGGGAATGTGTGTCCTGGTGCAATTAGAAATGGATGATGCCACTGGGTGTAGTAGCACATGCCTGTAATCCCAGTGACTCAAGAGGCAGAAGCAAGAGGATTGGGAGTTCCAGATCAGTCTCAGCAATTTAAGGAAGCCCTAAGCAACTTATGGAGACACTGTGTCAAAATAAAAAAAATAAACAGGTCCAGGAATATGATTTGGTAGTTAGGCAATCCGGTTAAATTCCCAGTTCCCCCACCCTCACCCCCAAAAAAGGATGATGCCAAGGATTATCCCAAATATTACCTCAACTTCATCCAGAAGGAGGTGCTGCTTTTGATTCACAAGTGTCCTCTGTAAGAAGGGAAGAAGAGCTTTAGCAAGCTGCATACTGAGCTCTGCAGCCTGAAGCTTCAAGGTTATCAAGCCTTGATCATCAATCAGGTCAGATTCATCATCTGGCCATTGAGGGTCACATTTATCCCTATGGATCAGGAACATTTTAAATCTGTTGGTTGAAACAGCCAAAATAACTTTTCATTTTCTGAAGACCCTTGCCTCCAGCTGTGAGTAATTTTGACCTGTTGACTTAAAGGAAGTGGAATTTTTCAAAAAGATCTCAACTGGCATCATTTGTCAACTTTTGTAACTGGTTTGAACTTTTTTATGTTTTTCTAATTATATTTGAAGTTCAGAGGGAGATGTAGATGGATAAATTGGGGCTTTTTGCAAGATTTATCAGTAAGATAAAAGAAACACTTGAAGATAGATGAATTTGGGAGATGAAAGCTGTGGAAATAGTTGAAATTTATTATTTAATTGTGTGCAAGTTTCTTTCTCTGATATATATATATATGTATATATATATATATATATGTTTATATATATATATATATATATTTTAAAACCAGAAGTCAGGGATTCAGCTAAGAGAAAAAAATTAACTAATTTTTCATTAGACTTATTTTTCATGTTTGGATACCTTATTATGGCTATTATTACTTCTTAAACATAGTAATTGATTAATTCAAATGTGTTAAAAATAGTAACTTATGAATCAGATGCTCACTTTGTTTATTGAGTGAGTTGCTCTTATACCATAGATTCATGTTTTCTTTAATTAAGATTATGCTATAAATACTTTTATTTATAGCATAATTTATTTATTTAAATAATTTGATTAGATAACATATTACAAACCTGTCATTTAAATTATCAGACATTTTTGAAAACTCTGTCTTCATAAGCATAAGAAATGCTCAACTATAGTTTGTTGAAAAATAGTACTGTCCTGGAGAAAAATGGGAGGCCAGGAAGGATACATTTCTTCATCAGAATTACAGTGCTGAAAGAAATAATCTGAGTGACATTTATCATTTATACAAATGCAGAAACGTAATATCTAAGATTAAGTTCTGATGTTTATATCATAATATAGGTCACTATCTTAATCGTGATTTGATTCAACTGGCCAGTGGATGAATAGCCAGTTTTCTTTTTCCTACTCTAGTTGTATACTTCCAGAACTAGGGGAAAAAAAAAAAAAAAAAAAAAACGAAGTTGCTTTTGTGCCTGTGAACTGATATATTGAGGTATGTGTACCTGATTATAATGTGGAAAAGCAACCTTTCCTTGTCCTCCCAGGGGAAAAGTCCTCTATGATCCTTTTGGTGTTATTAACTTTACCCTGTTTATTCTTCCTAATGGAGTTATGTGCTTTACTGGGATTCTGCTGTAGGTAAAGGACTGGAAGGGAAGACTAGATAAGGAAGTCTAACTATAATATGAGAGGAAATAACAAGCATTTTTAGGGAGAAAATAATTGCCGCACTGTTTTATGTACATACAATTTGGGACATGGTAGATGTGTGTTAATTTTAAAGACTCATTATAAACTACCTACCTGGCCTGCATACTTTTCCAATTTTGTTTAGCCTGGAAATGACTTGGCAGACACTTCTCTTCCTCCTTGGTCCTGACCTGTATGTGAGCCAAAATTTGGAGAATAAGAGACATATTCTGGAAAAATACTATGGATGGTTTTGGGCAAGAAAATCTAAGCATGACCTATGCTTCTCCAGCAGTGAGAATGAATTTGCATTAATCTGGCACTATTTTGTGGCTACACATTTTTAGCTATAATCAGAGCAAAAGAATGGAGCTAACTTCCTCCACATAGGAATGAAATGTATTGGTTTGATTTGAACCATATTCATAAGCTACAGACAGCATAGCATGCTTTACACAATAGTCCTTTTACAGTTTCATGGTGAATTAATGAAATTAAATGTTTAGAACTCTATTTAATGCCCTAAAAATCCATGTGCTTTGACTATAAAATAAATCCCAATCTGCCATCACAAATTGCATTAGAATTCACATACCATGGTCTGTCTGTGGTTTAGAATGAGAACTACATTATTTACAGGTTTTTATTCCTACTCCTTTACTAAAGTTTATGAAAGGAAGCAGTGCCTATTGAGAAATGACCAGTGAGTTTGGATGATTTTATTCCCAGCCAAGCCCTTACAGGATGTATAGGTATTGGGCAATGCATTTTATGAAGATTCAAAGAAATGTGCAGCAATAAATCATTGTCACTAAGGTTTCTCAACATATGACAAAAACGGCAAATACCAGTTTGAAGAATAGTATCAGAGAGTTGTGATTGCATAGAATTCTTTTCAGAGTGTTGCTGAAATTACCTTACAGCTTGAGGGCTATTTTACCCCACTAGGAAACTGCTTTTTTTCCTGGTTTGTTTTGGATATAGTTATCTGCCAAACTCATGGCTCAGTGTCTGTGTTCACTCCCTGTGATGTTAGTATTCTTAGTCAATGTTTCCAAGCAGGTGAAAATATAGAAAATATCTTTTTAAGTTTATAAATATGTAGTTATTTGTATTACCTCTGGAATATTTGCTTTTACTTGATGTTTTCTCATCTCCCTTTAGACTT